AAGGAAGGAAAGTTTATTCTTGTTACGTACATATGATATATCGTATTATTTCATAATTTTCGCGTTTCGAAACTGTACTTGCGTGCAATATTTTATGCAAGTAGTGTAACGTTCGAGATTTTGAAACATTTATACTTTCACCGCAAATAGCGTGGTAATCGTTCGGGGACGTGACAGCGTTCGGGATAAGATCGTTGTAAAAAGAAAATTATTTTTTATAGCTGTCGTAAAACTGTAAATTCGGTGCTTTAATAGAATTGCCAAAGGTCGAGCTTATAAGTTGTATTACTTAATTACCCGGCTCGGTATTCATCTTTCAATCGGAAACGTTCGCTTAATTCCATTGAACGCTACTATTGACATTTATTACTGTGGCTTACAAATGAAAAGTCTTTTCAAGACTTATGCCTATTTTACGACACCGATATTTTTCTTGAAAAAATATATATATATATATGTATATATAAATATCTATCATCTACATACATACATATATTCTCATAAATACAAAGAGGGGAACAAAAGGTTCGACTTGTAGTCGTATTTTCCCACTATTTATTTTCCGTCCATTATCCAAGAACATTTAAAGTCTTAAACCTTCAAAATTAAATATATTCGTGAAAGGAAACATCTCGTATTGAAATAGAATTTAGAATTTTTAATTTCGAGTCGTAAAACTCGTAATTTTAGATTATAGATTTGCTTATGACTCTTGGGTATAAAGTTTTATGCGTAAGTAAGTAGATACTTGAAAACGATCATAAATCTAAACGAATTGTTTACCCGATGTAATTAAATGAATGGAATAAAATCGTGGCAATAAATCACACGGTGGAATCTAGTTATCATTGCCAACGAATGCTTTGATGTACGTGTGTATCCTTATGTAAATAAAAATTATTAATGCAACGTAATAAATTTTATTTCGAGAAATCCAAACTGTACGTAACTGCAGAAAAAAATTATTGTATTAATTTTTTAACATCCATAGCTCGTCCATAACTCGTCCACCTTTCGATACTTCCATTATTCCATCTTTCCTCTTTATCTCGCGTTACAGAAAAATGAACGCGATTGCAAACCGTAATTTTACCGTTATTCGGAATTCGATTTAAAACGGACATTCGAACAATTTTAAATATTTATCCATTTACTCGTAAATTTTCGAAGAAGAAACAACTTTTACAATTCTCTCAACTTCTATTTGTTTCGAACGAGAACTTTCTCGAAATTAAAATTTATTGAAAATTTGTCCAAAATATATAACGGGGTATATATCATGGTACACAAATATATCATCGTCACTAAAATTACACTAATATTTTCTTTATTTGTATGTCAAACACGAAAAAGCAAAAGAAAGTATGGCAATAAATATTTACGAAGAGCATCACATTTTAATTTCCAATATTTTATCAGCAGCAGCAAAGGACAGAGATTTTAGTTACCTGCTTACTTAGTTTCCCTTAGTTTCTTACTCGAAACTTTAATAAAACCATAAAGAGAGAGAGAGAGAGAGAGAGAGGAGTTCAGCAAATTATTATTCTCCGGTATACACTACTACTCTGCAAGTTTAAAGACCTGTTCAAACTTGAAATACCAAGAGAACAATCGTAACATGTCGGATTAACACTGTTAATTTACCAACCGTATCGTAAAGCTTTATACGTATATATATAATTTATTATTTCAAAATATATAAAATATTATATTAACGAGAGAAAGAGACGGAATAGGGAAAAATTATTTATAAATAATTTCGTAGAGGAATATATAAATATTTTTTGATAGAAATATTTATAAATCGTTTTTGGTGGTGGCATCTTGTTCTCGATCGAACGAATGAAAAAAATGTGGACGCGGTGTGTAAGAAGGTGTATAAAGGATCGAGATTGGCGAGAAAAGGAAGAGGGTAGAAAGAAGAGGAGGGAAGCGAGTGGAAGAATGGAGGAGAGGGCGGGGTAGGTGGAAGTGGTTGTCGTGGGGGGCACCTTGCACGAGTTGACACGTCGTTGGTCGGGTCGGTTGCACCCGGCAAAAGTGTCGGCAAAGCG